TGTGAATTTTAAAAAGCACAATTCAAGCAAGGATGTTTTTACTTGGACTATAATTTGTTGGTCTGGTCTATCTGGTCTGAACTGGTCTGATATGTTCTGGTTTCTTTGTATTTTTATAACTATCCAAGTCTGATCTGGTCTGATCTGATCTGGTATAATCTGGTTTGGTCTGGGAGGAATTACAGTCCAAGTAAAAACATCGTAACCCGAACTTTTTAGTTTTTATTTTCTTTCACCATTTTATTAATTTTGAATAAAACTCGAAACGAGCGTTAGAAACACATCCATATATACTCCTCATTCAAATGTAATTGTCACACTTATATTATGATCTTACAAAATGTGTTAAGGATATTTTTACTTGGACTGTAATTCCTCCCAGACCAGACCAAATCAGACCAGACCAGTTCAGACCAGACTTGGATAGTTATAAAAATACAAAGAAACCAGACCAGACCAGACCAGCAAATTAGAGTCCAAGTAAAAACATCCTTATTGTCCGTATCATTTCACATTTGCCATATTTATGTGACTCAATATCATCTATATTTTATAAATCTAAAATATGGTGCGAAATTCGACCGTCCTTGACTTATTTTTGCGCTCTTATTAAATTCACATTTTTTACGGAGTATTAAATAAGGGTCTTTCTATGGTATATGCCTTATTTGTAAGTGTATCGTTGCATTATGTTGAATAGTCCACTAAAAAATGGCATCTGTACATTTTCTACATCCTCTGCAACCTTCATTCTTCCAAATGGTGATGTGGCATAGTTTGATTGCCTTACAAAAGTTGTGTATAGGTGCATTCTAAATTAACTAAGGCACCATAGAATTGAAACAATATGAGTTTAAAGTTTAAATTCCCAAAATAGGACTAACTCTTCCTATTCTACCCTTTCATTTGTCCTTCCTCATAGGATTTTTTAACAATCATTATAAAATATAAAAAGATTAAAATAAGAAAAAATAAATATTGTAATAAATAAATAAATAATATACAGACCTCAACCACCACCTCAGCCACCTTCCGGCACTGGCACCTCCGGTCGCCGGAAAAGATTGCCAAGATGGGGGAAAATGTCATCATGATGACAATTTTGAAGAGAAAGCTGGATATTTTCAAAGAGTAAAAATGTCATCTTTATGGCATTTCAGAGAAATGTGGCATTTTTTACACAAGATGACACTTTTTTCCGGCGACCGGAGCTGGTGGTGCTAGGAGGTAGATGATGCGTTGGCAGTGACCTACATAATTTTTTTAAATATTTTCTAGGTATTTTATTTTATTTTTTAGACTTTTTCAAAGTTTTTTTAAATATTTTATTTTTATTTTTATTTTATTTTTTGATTTATTTTTTCACGTTTTTATTATTAATTTTTAAATATTTTATTATTATTTATATTTTTATTAAAAATAAAACTATAATTTTCTTATTAATAAAATAAATCTATTGGAAATTATAGTAAGAGGGTAGAATGGGGAAGAAGTGAGATATATTAGTCCTATTTTGGTAGTAAAAGGATTGCACTCCTATTGTTGAATTTTTCGGCTAATTTTAGTCCTATTAAGGGCTAATACTCGTAAATAAACTACCCAATGTGTTTTTTGTTAAATTAACTATCCAGTACTTCCTCCGTTTCTGAAACAAGTTCCACCTTTCCTTTTCGGGCAGATTCAAAATTAAGTTCCACTTTCAAAAATTTCCTTATTTGGCAAATTATATACATCAAAACAGTGTCAAACAGTGTTCAAACAGTGCCAAACAGTGCACTCCACAATAAAGTAAAATTTATTTTCTTAATACGTGTTAGGTCAAATGTGAATCTTGTTTCAGAAACGGAGGGAGTATAATTCTTTTTGTTTTTGTTTGTGTTGTGTGAAAGGTGATTTGTCATTGAATCTTTACATTTCGATATATGTTAAGAGGAATATTTGAAACGACTCTAGTGGTTATGCAACCTAAGGTCTAAACTCAAAAGTGAACAGTACAGAAAATTCTACGAATCCAGGCACGGTGGAGAGAAAATGGGGTGTAGCTTAGCAAAACTCGTGGGGGTGACGTTTGAGTTGATGGGATTATCTGTTCTTGTCTTTATCACCATTCTAATAGGAAATATATTCCACTAGCTTCTATCCGCATTTCAGCCGTACTGTGTCCTGGCCTTTTGTATGTTTAAAACATACTCCGGTATTACTCTCTCCGTCTCCCTAACTTTGTCCCGTTTTACTTTTTTAGTTCGTATTATTAAGTTTGTCACATATCATATTAGGTAATATTTGAGTGGTTACAATTTATTCTTATTATATTTAAACTTTATCAATTCAATACAACCACACAATTCCATTTTTTCTTAAAAGTTGTGCCACACTCCTTTTCTCAATCATAGTGAGACGGAGATAGTAGTAATTAAATGTTACCGGTGGTATCTCCGTTCCACTAATATTGTGATAGAGCAGAATTTATGTGATTGATATCAATTGATAAAGTAAGAACAATGTAAGAACGATTTACATGTACACAAACTTTACCAAATTCGTCATCAGATAATTTTAGTGAGATTCTCCGAATAGGTAAAATGTCCCCTTTCTATAACATGAGATTGTAATTCTAGAATTTGGATCTACATTTTAAAAAGGTATGAAAAGAAAAACCTCCACCTATTGTATTCCTAGGTTTATTTTATTTTGTATGCAATATTAGTATAATGTCAAAGATAATAAAAAAACATGATTTGTGATATATTTTTATAAAATTCAGATTATAACAAAAAAGTTTTAGTAATTAAAAAAAGAATTTTTTTAAGTTGGGGGTCAGAGGCTTCTGGCTTCCTTTGTCATTTCCGACTTTAAGAGTAAATCGCTAACCGGTGATTTTTGTTAATGAATGATCCTTCAAATAGTATTTTGGGAAATACTTTAACCTCACTCTCTTTTCATAAATCAATTTTTATTTAACATTATTTTGGAAATTGGAAAAAACTCACAATAGTTAATACTACATTCTTTTTTTAATTTCAAAATTGAACTTTTTGCAATATTCACATATTGTATTTTGACTATTTTATTTATTGATGTATTATAAATTAAAATTTTAAAAATATATATTTAAATTCCCCTCTTTTTAAATTTTCAAAATCTGAATGATTTAATTTTTTACTAATAAAGAATGAAAGATATTAATTGTCAAACTTGTACATCGAAAAACATGAAAAGTGGATTTTTGCAATTAAAAGAAAACCGAGGAAATACAAGAAATAACCTCTAAACCTCTAATAATAGGTAATATATTTTCAGCCCCTATCCCCCACAGCCCTAGTGATCGTTTTCAACGGGTGTTATAGTCCTTTTATCTCAAATGACGTACATACTCCTTAGTATATAAAGTGTACGAGGTTGACTGTAAAAAGGTAATCTTCGATTTCCTAATATTTTTTTAAGTTAGTACTACGCATTAATAATTGAAAAAAGGATGAGAGAGACCCTCAACCCCAATCGAACGGTACGTTAGGGAGATGTAAATTGGATTATAATCACAATCTGACAGATAGAGAGCAATGCTCTGTCCTCGGTACTTGCAGAAGTCATATGCATTTTTAGCATAGTAACCTCTCATCGCAGTTGCCGGGATTCGAACCCGAGACCTAACTCTTGTGGCACTCTCTTGCTACCAGTTGAGCTACGTCCACCGGTTATGTGTTAATAATTGAAAATATATATATTTGTCCATTTCACCTGATGGAATTTATTCAATATAAGACTAACAAAAATAGGGCTAAAATGTGTTATTCCTTGAATAGGACTTCTTTAATTCTAATAAAAAAAATAAGTTGATTAAAACTTTCCAAAGTAAGAGTTAGTGATTCATATTTTGATAAAAAAATGATATTTTGAGAACAAAACAAAATAGTCTTACATATGATCTTAATCATTGCTTTAGTCCTATTTAAGACATGATCAACACTTTCACCATATTTTAGAATCTTTTCAGTTGGATTTATTTCAATCATAAACCAAAATCAGATGAATTTTAAACAAATTAGACTAAATCAAGCTTAGAATGTTTTTTTATTATAGTGATATCATTCTCTAATAAGACTCGACTTAAATTAACTAGATCAAATTAAACTAGGCTATCGTTATTTTACCCCTAAAATTGCACTCATTCACTCATATTTTGAGAATTTTTGATCAACTTTTTCTTTTATTAGGACTTCATAAGTTCCATTTGGATAAGGAAACATATTTGATCCTATTTCAGAATTTTGGGGTTTGAATATTGGCGGGTGGAGCAAAACACCATTTTATACAAAGAAAAACGCTTCTATTAGCGGCGGGTTGGGCACAAACAGTTGGAATCCAAACAAGTAAACAACCACCCCTTTATCTATTTTTAATCCTACATTGAACAATTTATAATTCATCTAAAGTAATGCGTATGGTTGTTAAAATTATTTATCTCTCATTTGCATAAATCTCAACTACACATTTCTTATTTTGTTATTCTACATGTATGTCAAATAAACTTGACCAATTTTTTCGGGACGGAGAGAATAGTTAAATATACATACATAAAACGAGACAACCCAGAATTAAATTGACCAAATCATATTGAAGCATGCCATATTTAAATAGGCCAAACTATATATACTACAATGAAAACATTTATTCCAATTAAAAACATCCTTAAACAGTAGTAACATACACACAAAATAGACTTGTATCAGAATAGATCAAAGTATTTTATTCTAACATATTAATCTCAAGATACTCTATCTCTGTATCTTATCTATTGGAATGAATTAAAATATTGTAATTGAATAATTTAAATATGAATAAAAAATGAAATAATGATCTCCTCAATAAAATGCATGTAGATATGCACAATTATTTGTGGGTATTATTCACTTGTTATCTTTTGGGAGTATGTAAGATTCAATTATAAGTCCAAATAGACGCGGTGAGCTTTTGGAGAGCATCTGGTGTCCATGTACAGTCGTCATTCTGGCCTTCCTACAAATACCCCCCAACACTTGCCTCAAACTATCACCCAGCACCAGAGCTAACCAGCCCAGCCAGTATATCTTCAACTTCATCATATTATATTCATCACCTAAGCATATAATATAATCTTCCAATATTATTATTATTACTATTATTATTATTATATAATAATCAGCCAGCCAGCCAGCCAGCCAGCCAGCCACCCAACCAACGTACGTACTCTTCTGGATGCTCCACGTTGTTCTTGTCTGAAGACTTGAGGTAACTTTTTTCTCTTTTTCTTTCCAATTTTGGCTTTGGAACTTGATCAAAAAGCTAATTTATATCTTCTTTTGTTAAATCAAGATGCCTCCACACGCCTGTGTAATTATGACCCAGAGCTCCAGCTCACTGAACCCTGAAGTCCCGGTGGCTGCACAGCCATATCCGCCGCCACCTCTGCCTCCGCCTGCGAAGAAGCTGAAGCAGGGCATCAGCTCCATTCTTGTGTCGGAAAATGATGATCAAGGAGCGAGCTCAGCACCCTCCATTAGAAGAACTCTCTCCGCTGACATGTCATCCAAGAAATGGGCATCTCAGACCGGGCTCGTCATCGACGAGGAGCGCCGTTCTTCCTCCGTCAGCGACCGGCCCGGGCAAGATGAGGTCTGGAGGGCTATTCAAGAGCAAAGACTCCATCAAGGGAATGACGATCTTGAACAGGGGCCGCCGAAGACTATAACCCGAGCAGCGGCATTACCGAGTGCTTCATCTACTGAATCTTTTAGCTCAATCTTGGATTCATCCTTGAGAAAAGATGTCTTTGGTCCGTACATTCCTCCTCTCCAGAAGAAACCGCCGAAGAAGTTGAGCGCGAAAAGCCTCCTGATGTGCACTGAGATTCTGGGTTCCGAGACCGGCGCCGACGATTTCCAGCCGGACCTGCCGCCTCTCCCAACGAATAGGAAGAAGCCACCATTGATGAACATGTATATGAAGAGATCTCCGGCCAGACCTCTCCCGCCTCCCCTGCCTTCACTGGATATGAACAAGACTACAGTCCAAGTTCGCACCCGCCGGGAGGACGGCCGGTTGATTCTTGAAGCTGTTTCCGTCCCTCCTCGGGAATATCTCCGGGCTGAAAGAAACAACGGCCGGCTTTTCATCTCCCTCATCAACAGTGGGTCTAGCAATGAACAGAGGCAAAAAGAAGAACCAGAGTTCGTCTTCAATTTCGAAGAAACTGAAGTTCGGAATGGCGAAGATGAAGAAGAAGACGATGATGGTGATAAAGAAGAGCAAGGAGATGACAGGAACAGAATGGGTATTGCGGCGGAGCAAGATTCAAGCTTTCCCGGCAGGAGATATCCGCCGCCAATGCGATTTCCGGGGCTAATTTTCAAGAAAAACAGGGCATTGATGGAGGATCTCATTATAAACCAAGCCCACTCACAGTCTCTGCCGCCAGCGCCAGGGGTGGCCGGAATGGTCCGGGAAAATCCGCCGGTGATAAGCGTCACCTTCGTCAACGACTACGACTACTTCTGGCGTCGAAAACCAGCCATTGAGAGCAATGCCGTAGAAGCCGAGCATCTCATCCAGAAACTTAACAACGACAACAACAACGACCAATTTGTATCAATGGAGGAGCAGAGGAAGAGAGGCAGGTTGGGGCTGTTGAGAGGAAGCACCGACAAAAAGATGCCGCCGGCGATGTTGAATGGCTGTAAAGACGGCAGAAGGTCTTTACTTCATCGCCCCAACCTCATCGCTGGCCGTTCCAATTGATCGAAGCCATGCAATCCTCAATCCAATTAAACACCAATTAATTAATAGATTAATAAGTAATAACCCCTAACATAATATAAAAACTAAAATAAAGTAAAACTAATACGGAATAATAATAAAGTAAAAATAATGATGTAATGCCCTCCCTATTAGCTAGGATCATCATTTTCTTTTCTATTTTATCAACTCTGAAAGAGTGTATTATTACATGTGTAGCCAAAATAAAAAACAAGCTAGGAGTTCTAGCTTTAATACAAATCAGAGCAGCAAAATAAAACCATATGCTCATGTTGCTTATTATCCTCAAGACTTGGCTTACTTCTCACAGCTATTAATTAGTACCATTTCAGTTCATTTTTAGTTGTAATATTGACAAATTATACACAATTAAGATACTCTACTTTCAATATGTTTTACTTATTATGTATTACCGAGTAAATTAAATTTTTGATAATATTGTTGAATTCTTCTTATTTTAAATTTTCAAAGTCTAGTTTTTTAACTTTTTATTAATAAGGAATGAAATCTTTCAACCACAACTTTTACTTTTCAATAACATTATTAATAATCGTGCCAAATTAAAACGACAATGAATACGAGAGGGAGGTAATATGTTTTACTGGTCCGTATAATTTAGGGGATTTTCACGACAAACTGTATTACTTTATTATTAAATGCTAAAAAATATAGATTGCATGAAGTACCTGTTTACTCTTAATTTTTTATTAGGAAAAGAGACATATTTCGGTGGCCCAAAAGTTTTTACTGTACAAAATAACATAATAGAATGGGACAAGTTGACTATTAAACTATATACCATACTCATGATTTGGATTCTTCAATGGTACAGAACCATCTTGGCTAAAATGCATTTTTGTTCCCTGAGTGCACACTAGTTGGCAAAGCTAGTCAAGCTGTCATTACTTTGTCAATTCAAGTACTCCCTCCCAAAATGAATTTGACAGTTAGTATTCACATAGTCAATTTAAATTACTCTTAATCTTATGTTTTATATATCAATTTTTTTATCAAATTTATATTTTTTATCAGTCTTTGTAGCGGTTTTATTGTAGTTTCTCAATATGTAAATTTTATTTACTAAAAGTAATCTGAACATGAACAGTGATCGAGTTGCTTTATCGTCGGTCGAGCATCGTAATCTGAAATGGGAAGTTCATTTTGGGACGGAGGTAGTATATCCTTACAAATATCACCAATTTAATTCCATTTTTTGTATTACGAATTTTATGTAATTTTCACATTTAGTTCACGTCTTTCGTTTTATTCACTTTTATTACTTGACTAATGTTTCTTGACCATATATTGTCCTTTTCCAACGATTTTAACCACTGTAATTATTACCGAAGGGATCATATATGGGCAAAAAGACAATAGTAATGTACCAAAAATGATCAAAGTCGAAAATGTGGACCAATTGCGGAATGGGTGAAATACTCATAGGACCAAAAGATGAATTAGTTCTAAAAAAGCTACCAATGTAATGTTTTCGAAATGTTAGTTTACCTTTTAAATTAAAGTCGTTCTTCAAATGCTTTTTTTTATACTTCCAACATAATAGAATTGATATGGATCCCTGTTATGAACAGTAAATGGCACCCCAAAAATGACAGTTTGATCATTTTTATCGTTTTCAATAAATGAAAAATTTGTTTGGTAAATAGTTGTTCGACACTAGCTGTTTGGATGGAAACGTTGAAATGGAAACGCCATGAATAAGAAAGTTTTGGGTAGGGTTTTGAAATATGACAAATTTTATGGCCAAACAACTAAATTACCAAACATCTTCTCACAAACCGCCAACTTATTTTGCTGGTTAATCCCACTGATTGAAATCGTTATTGACAACCTGCTAATATGATCCGCTATCTACTTACCGCTAACCGCTAAATGCCAAACACGACCATTATCGGTGTTAGAAATTATGTGTTCAAATCGCAAAAAAAGTGACGTAAAATAACAAATAATATTAAATTCATGAGTAAAATAAAATATGTATAAAAATGTGACCTCTCAATTGTATTGATTAAAAGTAATTCTAGTTACAACAACTTGTATTCAACTTTTATACTTAAATGATCATGAAACTATATTTTGATAATATTTTTTATAAATAAGTTCTTTTTCTGTAAACAAACATTCTTTCGGTAATGTTTAAAAAATACCACAAATTAGAGCAAGGACCAGATTTGTTTATCCAGCTCTGTCTCTCCATATTTGTTTCTCTAGCTCAATCTCTTAGGACACATTTACTTCACAAGTTACTAAACAATGCTTATTAAGACTTATGTTAATAAGCAGCGTGTAAAATAAACAATGCAATAAGCTCATGTTTACTTCATAGACTTTAAAGCACCGTTTAACATTAAAATGTTTAAAATAACCTTATACATATATAGACACACAAGCATTCATGTACACAGGTATATAATATAATACGTTGGGGCCACCCCCATACCCCTAACCCTACCCCCAGTTTCTACCCCACACCCTACCCACACCTTAACCCCTACCCCTTCCCTACCCCTACAACGACCTTGCTCTACCCCTACTCTCCTACCTCCATGTACGCGTACCCATACCCCTGCCCCGCTAATCCCTACCCCTTACCCCCAATTCTAATCCTACACCCTACCCTACCCGGCCCTTACCCTACCACGTATGACCCTACTCCATAAACTTTAACCCTTCCCGACCACCCTATCCTTACCCCGACCCTTGGGTATGTTTGGGGTAAGGGTGGGGGTAGGGGTACAAGCCTGGTCAGAGTAGGGAGCTAGCTTTTGTGGATAAACTAGAATTGATGGAGAACATACCCAAAAAATTTAATCGAAAAATTCCACCGGGAAGGCGGCCAAACGCCGCTGGAACAACGGTTCCTATCCGGAATTCCGGACATGAACTTTTCTCTCTCTCTCTCTCTCTCTCTCTCTATATATATATATATATATATATATATATATATATATATATATATATATATAAGAGTAAACTATTGTCATCTTTAAATCATGTTGTACGTTATACTACTACTATATCATAATCACAGGCTGAGGGCGGAAGTACGTGTCTTATTTAGAGAAATGTAATAAAAAAAGGGCTTTTGCCTTGAATATTACTAATTTAAAGTCAATTACCAAAAATGTGACCACTTTGGAAAAAAGACAAAAATGTGACTAAGAAGGTGATATGTTTGGAAATCATGATGTCACTGTAAAAATTTTATGTCACTACCAAAGTTTTATGTCACTCTCATTTGTCACTTCCAAATTTTTATGTCACTTTTGAATGTCACTATCGATTTTCGTGTCACTTTTAAAAGTCACTGTTGCCGTAAATCGTGTCACTGTGATCGCCGGTAAATTTTCCGACAGCTTTTCCGGTGCCGCCACAACACTCTTGCCACTGCCATCTGGCCCACCTGGTTTACCGCGCCATTGATAACTCGAACCTACCATCCTCGGCCCCGGACCCAAATTCCCCAACCCCTAGCCCCCTCTCCAGTCCGTCCTTCCCTTCCCCTGGCCTAGATCCCGTCCCAAACCATCGTGATACCTCCAACCAAGCCTAGCTACTTCCATATGGATCTGGATAAGACGCCATAGTTGTTCCTCGCTGTCGTCCGTAAGACAATCCTTCATCCAGGCACTCCACGCAAGGAAGCTTGCGAAGGGAGAGTCCATAGGCGCTCCACGCAGCTATTGAAGCATAAGTGATAAAGCTCTCCTCTTATTCTACGATAATCCAAGTCTCACGAACTTCTTACTGAGGCGGCAAGAAAACTCCTGCGCGAACAATCACCGCTCACCCCCTGACCCCCTCGCTGCCGGATCTGGATACCTCACTAACAGATTCATCATCGCCGCTCACCCCCTCAGATTCAACCATCATTGGATTCCCTTCCTTCGCCATCCCTGAAGCCAAACAGAAAGGGAAGAAAAAGAAGAGCAATTGGGACGATGTTGCAACTGAGAGAGCCTGCGGCGGAGGCTGGTCAGTTAACTGATGGGAGATTTGAGAGTTGGTGGTGGATTGCAAATCTGGCAGGGCAGGGGATGATTTTCCCGATTGCATCTCTACAACGGAGAAGAAAGGTAAGAAGGTAGAGAGGCAAGGCGAGGCTTAGAGAGGTGAACCGGCGGAGAGAAGGCCCCATGGCCGTGCAGAGAGAATCGCCAGATGTACGAAGAGAGAAGGCTAGCTGTGCGAAGGAGAAGGCTTTCCTGTCCCTGGAGCTGCGAGCGTGTGAGACCAATGGAGAAGACCCGGATGACAAGTCATAATTTTGGAAAGTGTAAAACTGCTCATATTTTTGTCTACTCAAACTATATGAGTAATTGTTTTGTCATTATTTCATAAAAAACTACATCCATCCGCATAACATTAATATTAAATTTATAAAGAAACTTATAAAGTACAAGTAATATAAGGATAAATTGTAAAATCGAAAATAATATCAAATATGGTACTAGTATGTGACAAATTTAGTAGAAAAACAAAAAACGATAAAATCCGACAAATTAGGGCACATAAGGATTGATTCTCTTATCCTATAACGCAAATGATCTTTTTTACCCTATAGCCCTATTTATTAAAAAATACGGAGTACTCCGTATGAAGTAAAACATACTCCTATATACGGAGTATATAGATTCATTTTCTTCCAAAAATATATGGTCCAAGGCTCTAAGCTAACCTTAGTTAGTTTACCGGGCTTCCAAAAATATAGATCAAACTAGTACGTCTAGTAAGCGGCATGTTTAAACTAGGGAAAAGTACGTGAAAAGTATTTGTGTTTGCTCCCGTTTTCAGATAGGGTCATTTGTTTCATTTTTTATCAAAGTAGTTCATGTGTTTGAATTCCGTTATCACAAGAGGGTCACACCGTTAAAAACGTCTGAAAAAGACCATTAAAAGTAACTCCGTTTTTCAAAAGTGCCTGAAAAATTAAAAGAAAAATACTGAAAGGTGCGCCTCGTCAAGATGACCTCCAAACCACCTTCACCTTTGGATTTTTCTGATTTGTTTGAATTATTTTTTGAAAATGATTTCGCTAATAACACTTTTCCGATGGAGTTTCCGGTGACAAGGGTGGCTGGAAATAAAAAAGAAAGATGGCCCAACGTTCGTCTTATTGAGGCGCACCTTCCGGTATTTTTCTTTTAATTTTTTCAGGCACTTTTGAAAATCGAAGTTACTTTTAACGATTTTTTCAGACGTTTTTAACGGTATGACCCTCTTGTGATAACAGAATTCAAACACATGAACCACTTTGATAAAGAATGAAACACATGTCCTTATATGAAAACGGGCTCAACCATAAGTACCTTTTCCCTTTAAACTAGCATGTACTCCTAAATAACCCATGATGTTTTTACTTGAACTGTTTTTAGTCGCAGACTAGATCAGACCAGACTTAAACAAACCAAACCAGACTTAAACATAGCAGACCAAACGAGACCAGACTTTGTAGTTATTAAATACATAGAGCTAGACATGTAACAGACCAGATCAAACAAGTTAAGGCCAGACCAAACTTAAACAAATCAGACCTAATTATTGTCCAACTAAAACATCCTCATCGTAAAGCTCATTTGTGGCAACATTTAGTTATCTGCGTCATCCGACCAACTGATTTCGATATACCAACATTATATGGCAATGCAAACTTGGGTATGGTGAGGATCATTCACTACTACATTTTCGGGCCTCATGTAACATTATGTTTGTAACAGTTAGTAAAAACGTTACATTAAGTTCATCTATTGTAATGGTTATATATCATTTGGTTCATTTGCGTAACTACTGTTACATACCGTTACATTTGGTATATCTATTGTAATGGTTATATATCTTTTGATTCATTTGTGTAACTACGGTTACATATCGTTACATTTAGTGTGTTCACTAAAGTAATACTTTACGAGAAAATTTTAGCGCCATATATAAATAAACTTTGCATTTCCCGCCAAATGTTAAGGGAAAACAACATCCCGCGAAATCATTCCGCCTAATTACCCAATCAAAACCAAATCAAAAAGCCCTAAGGAAAGCAATTTCTTCCGCAGAGAGCTAAGCGGCCATCGCAGTGATAAACGCACATCGCACATCGATGGCATTCTTCCGGTGAGCCGCACATCACAGAGCTGATTTCCCTCCGACGTTCTGCTGCTCTCCACTACATCTGGCGCACGAAGACGACGGCTCTTCATCAATCGGCGGTGAAGAGACACACTGGTCTGCATCAACCAGCGACGAACAGACGCATTGGTCCGGATCTCAACCGGAGGCGAAGAGATGCACTGGTCCACATCAACCAGCGGCAAAGAGACGCACCGGTCCGCATCTCAACCGGCGGCTAAGAGCCCCACCGCTCTGCATCAACCGGCGAAGAGGACGCAAGGATTGCTACTCTCCGAAACCGACAATCAGCCCTCTTCCTCCGTAGGTAAATTCACGATCTTCGAAATATAAAAATTGCAGAAAACGAAAAAAGAGGTATGCTGCTGGATCGGTTTTGAAAGGCGAGTCCAACAGTATGATTTTTACAAAATTTCGTTCACAAACGAGATTACAGGAGCAAATCTCTACATATAGAAAAACAGAAGAAAAAACAGAGCAGTTCTTCGTTAGATCAAAAAATCGCAGACAGATCCAACCTGTTTCACGCCTCGGCTCTGATACCAAATGTTAGTCCCATAATTTAACAAACAACAATCATAACAATGATAAAGAAGCAGATTGGAAGAAATCGACAAGATAAGAACCGAATCTGGTATACCGTATAAACCTGCCGCTACTCTCCCTGGAGAAGGAGAGCAGCGGCAACCCTAATTTCTCTCTATCTCGCCTCTGCGTCTCTAAGCCTCTCTCAATCTCTTCGGGTTCCCGTAAGTTAGCCTCCTTTTATAGGAGAAGTTGGCTAACTTACGGGTTACAAGGAAGCCCACGGGCTGATACACATTTGTGGCCCGTATTACACGTTTAATTCATAACTACACAAATACAAAGATATTTAATTATATTGGACACCATAAAATATTCCTAACAATCTCCCACTTGGTGTTCAATCATGTTGAATCATCATTGCTGCGCAGATATCTTTGTCTTTGTTGTTATTGAGCTTCCTTTGTCTTTGAACTTGACTTCTAAGGAAGGCTATCTGAAGAAATCCTTGCAATCTCCCCTTTGATGTCTCCTTGACAATTTGATCTTTGATGCCGGTGGTTGAGGGACCTTCAGTATCTTGCATGTAGTCCTTGCCTTCCAGAAGTTGCTCTTGATCAGCTTGGATGAAGTCCGGTGACGCCTCTAGAATGAATATTCTTTGGAGAATAGGAGACGCCCATGGAATTCATCTTCAGGACACGAGTATTTGACCTCTGTCTCCTCCACAATGTAGTCTTTTTGACTATTTGGAATGAATGCATTTGAGGAGAACTTGTCGGTGGCACAGCGGAACATAATGATGGTTGATTTGTGAGTGTAGCTGACCACTTGAGTTGCGGAGATAGTAGAGAGAGTGTTGGAGGAGAGAAGTGTCCCAGAATGATTTTTAGACAGTTAACAGCATGTGGACCACTCTCCCCCTCATGACGATCCGATGACTCGGGGCGTCATGCCTTTATTCTTTTATTCTGCGGAAATAAAACACGAAAAACAAGCAGAATCTAAAGAAGATAACGTAGCCCCCCGGGGTCGTGAAGACGCCCGTTATCATCACTATAGAGATAAACTCTTTTGCAATGGCATGAAAATGTTGGTGATTCTACATCTGTAATATATGAGCCCTATGGAAGTTCTCGCGGGTCATGAAGACCTGCAACTGACTCTAAAAGTGCGTCTGTGTCCTAGAAAATTTCAAAACATTTGGGAGTGAGTAACTAGACACGACGTGATCAATGAAAGTTCAGTGGCATGGGGCTGAGGCCACTGTAGTCAGTATTACTTACCTCGTAAGGAGGTAGTAATGAAAGATGCGGTTCCCCGTGAAATATGATTAAACACCTGTCTGTTGGGAGACAAGTGAGTGGTCTAGGGTAGGGTTGTGCATGCGCCGTTTGGACAAAATGCAGCGACTTCTACCCGGGATCTGAATAAATTCAGTCCTGAACCTATGGGGATAGTCCAGAGTATTTTAGTGGCTAGGAGCAAATGGTCAATTCATAGCAGACAATTGAGGTAGCAGAGTCATCATTGATAATTGTTTCCTTCTCACTCGAGCCTTCTGCTTCCTAATGCTCATAATGTTCACTCACTCACTCGCTCACTTACGCACTTACGCTCGGCTTTGTCCCTTGGGTAGGCTTAGTTGGGTTTACTAAGCCATAGGGACATGTTCTCTCATTACTTTCTCATTTTATCTCTGTACTCCCCCTCAACTGGAGCACTCAGTATGCTTTGTCATTGTTAGGCACCGGGGAGGATAAAATTGAACACTCTCCCTAGAATGTTGCATCCGTTGAGAGATTCCTTGCTTTGTCGGTGTAAGGTGCCAGGAGGAGAAAACTGAAACTCCCCCTCAGAATGTGCAAGGTTTGATTGCTCACAGCTTGTCATCCCCGCCATGTGTGTGGAGCAATCTGAACAAGTACCACACATGACGGTTTCCTGAGCTCACCATGTAGAATTTCAGCATGTTGATGATCACATAATGTTGATGAGTCAGGGGAGGCTTCAGCAGTTGATTGTTGATTGTTGTAAGATGACCGTTGACGCGAGGTAGATTGAATTATCTACGATTTTCAGACCTTTACATTGAAGTTTAGAAAAGCTTTGACCTCAGGGTGGACTTTGAAAGAATTTGAACAGATTTGCCTAAGTTTTGACCTGGACATCGGTGATTTACAATGTTTGTCGGAAAACTAACGTTTTGACCCTCAAAGACTGCGAGTGAGGGCGCGTGATAATGGGTTCTGGGGCGTAGCCCCAGAATTAATGTAGATCTTTTCGTTAGCTTTCCAACAAAAAAAGTTTGCTCAAATCGGATCACCGAGTCAAAAGTTATGGCCAAAACAGTGCAGTGTCGCAGAAAATCTCTAATTTTGAGTTTTTGAGGAATTTCTTCGAAGTTGAGGTTCTCGATGATGAATGTCGAGAGCAAGTGGATTTTAAACAAAATTCTAAGGCAATACTTCGAAATCCTAATCTCAAGGTTTAAATCTCGAGATTACAATCTCGAGGTTGCCTCGAAGAATAATGGCGAAATCCACCTGCAAAACAAACCTCAGAATATCGAAATCTGCAGAATTTCAAAATGTTTGAACATCGAAAACTTTGGAGTTCCGAAAACCTCATAATCTCGAAAACTTGTTGTTTGAAAAACATCAGAACATCAAAAACTCCTGAAACATTTATATAAGCAGGGAATCATTTAGAGATCCTTATAATGTAAAGCTTCGATGAACTGCAAAGGATGTCAAGATTCGAATTATGAGTTCCAAGAAACTGCAAACTTTGAAAGATTCAAAACATCGAGAAATTTTGAAAATCTCGAAATCTTCAGAATGTCGAGATCCAAAACATCGAGATCCCAAAACTCGAAATTCCTAAACTCAAAATACCAAAACTCGAGATTACAAATCTCGAGATCTTGATTTGAGATTCAAATCTCGAGATCTTGATTTCGAGATTCAAATCTCGAGATCAAGATGTCGAGATGCAAATCTCGAGATCAAGATGTCGAGATTCAAATCTCGAGATCAAGATGTCGAGATGCAGATTTCGAGATCAAGATGTCGAGATTCAAATCTCGAGATCAAGATGTCGAGATGCAAATCTCGAGATCAAGATGTCGAGAAGAGGAAATCGAGTCCCTAAATGTCGAGATCCTGCAAAACGAAAACATCGATTTTTGAAAATCTGAAACATGTTCTGAATAGCCCTGAAAGTCGAGATTCTCCTGTATCAGTTTCAAGCCAAAAACGTTTCTGCAGCAGTGAAAAATAAGGATTTCGAGATCTCAAAGTAGAGATCTTCGAAATATAAAAATTGCAGAAAACGAAAAAAGAGGTATGCTGCTGGATCGGTTTTGAAAGGCGAGTCCAACAGTATGATTTTTACAAAATTTCGTTCACAAACGAGATTACAGGAGCAAATCTCTACATATAGAAAAACAGAAGAAAAAACAGAGCAGTTCTTCGTTAGATCAAAAAATCGCAGACAGATCCAACCTGTTTCACGCCTCGGCTCTGATACCAAATGTTAGTCCCATAATTTAACAAACAACAATCATAACAATGATAAAGAAGCAGATTGGAAGAAATCGACAAGATAAGAACCGAATCTGGTATACCGTATAAACCTGCCGCTACTCTCCCTGGAGAAGGAGAGCAGCGGCAACCCTAATTTCTCTCTATCTCGCCTCTGCGTCTCTAAGCCTCTCTCAATCTCTTCGGGTTCCCGTAAGTTAGCCTCCTTTTATAGGAGAAGTTGGCTAACTTACGGGTTACAAGGAAGCCCACAGGCTGATACACATTTGTGGCCCGTATTACACGTTTAATTCATAACTACACAAATACAAAGATATTTAATTATATTGGACACCATAAAATATTCCTAACAGTTATTAGGAATTTAGGAACAAATCTTATAGAAGAAAGTTGGAATCTTAACTAATATGACCACTTTAGTATTTGGTATCTGGTAGCTTAACTTAGCTTGTAAAACATTTAGTACCTCCTATGTTTTTGTTTATATGTTGTACTTTATCACTTTCCTTGGTTCATTTTAATTTGTTTGATTATAGAATTCTCGTGAGGTACACAATACAGAGTACTTTTTAATTTGCCCTTAAATTATATATCCAATTTGCCACGTCTCTGAATTGTATAATGGGTACATTAATCAGAGGGTGAGTTTCTAACCAGAATTTTTTTTGCTTCCAACTACAGCTAAAAGTGATTAACTTTTTATTGATAAAATACACACGCCTATAACATATTTAGATTGATAGAAGAAAATTAAACATTTTGCATTGGTATAACACGTTGATACGTGTACACAAAAAAGAAAGAAAAGTAGTTGATTGAAAAAGTAACTGTCCCATATCTAGTTTAGGGTTTAGGGTTTAGTTAATTTGTGTAGTTAAGATTTTTAGATTGCTAGTACTTAAAAAGATCTCACATCCATAATCAAACAAAATAATCAATGTTTTATATACGGACTAGGATTCATCATTCATAAGGAAAGTAAATGTGTCCCTACCCTTTGAACGCTATAGATTATTGAATCAGTTTGCTGAAAAAAGTTGTTGAAATACTCCGTACGCTTTATCTCAATAATTGTAAATATAGCGGTTTTATTGTAAAGCTATGATGTTATTTTTTACTACTGCAACTTACAATGTTTTGAATTGCTTTGGTTGTAAAATCGATATGACCTGATTAACAAACAAATGAACTGATTATATATAAATATATAACATGGGTGCTTAATTATTTGAAATGTTTGCTTACAGGTGAGGGATTCACATGAAGATGAAGATGGAATGGAATCAAATGATGAATGATGCATACCCATGATTTGTCACTTGAGCTTTTCCTAGTAGTAGTGATAAACAATCTTTTGCTTTGTGAACATGATGTTCAAAATTTCATAACTTATCAAACTCATGTGTCTGTCAAAGAGCTTTTAACACAGCTACTTTGCATACTTTTGAATGCTTTTGTACAACTTAAATTGCTTGGTTTATAGTGTAATGGATTTGATGTTGGGGTTAACATTTGTTTCACTTTTGTATGTAATTATAATTAAATGAACAGCTAGTTACATTCATTGCTATAGGTGTGTAAAGACATCCTGGCTGCATGTGTGCAAATGCATAAACCGTTACATTACACAATTCATCAGGGCAATTGTATTTTCAAAACCGTTACATTACATAAGTAATCAGGGCCAACATATTTCCAAAATTGTTACCTCTGTGCATGTTACATATTGTTACATTTGTACACGATCTGTTGTAACATTTATGACATCTCGCGAGAACCATCACAGTTGGTCATAAATTTCGTTGCAAGCCGTTACATTAGGGTAAATGCAACGTGAGCGAATGTAACGACGATAAACTATTACAATAAGTCAAATGTAACATTTTTTGGTCCAAATGTAATGAATTCTGTTGTTACATTTTCAGGATAATTCTACCTTTAATTAATACTTCGTATATTGACTTTAATTATGTCACGATTCTCAAATTCCGAATACGAGCTACGTTCACTTTTTTGGAACAGATGTAAGTTCTATAGCTGAAATTCTTTCTTACTATATTAAATTCAAACATCAAAATCAAAACTAGGGGAATATTGATGCACTGGCATGCAATTCTCTCGAAACATACTGGCCCTTGCACGTGAGATCGAAGATAAATACTACTCTCTCCCTTCTCTAATATTTGGCTCTCTTTTCCTTTTGGGATGTTTTCTATTAGTTGTCACCCTTTCCATTTTTGGTAAGTTTTTTCAATAAATATACTCATTTACCCTCATTCTCTTTCCTTCTTTTTCATTCTCTTTCCTACTTTTACCTTTACACACAACCCACTAAACCTTTTATCCCACCTCTATTAATTCCTTCTTAAATATTGTGTCAAAGGCTATACTCTCATCTATTAGAGAAGGGAGGAGTACTACTTCAATTTACTTTTATAGTTTTGTTTAGTGTACTTTCCTTTTAGGGAATATATGATTAAATATTCTACTTTCTATATATTATTAACAACCACCATCAATATATATTACTATATATAGGAATAAATATACAAAATTTTCGGTCGTGTTTATCCCTTCTATTCTTTTCACATTTTCTGAACTATATATCGCACCCTTTGGAACTTTTTTCTTCATTTATTTCAAAAGCTATTGAACGAGCTGAGTAAAACTTACTCCCACAGTCCCGTAAAGAAGTTCCTAATTTGACTTACACACATATTTATGTAAGGTAAAGTTTTGTTTTGACTTTTCAAGTATACTCTTATTTTATGTCAAATCAAACAAAAAGTGGGGAAAAAAGTAAGGGTAGTTGTGACTTTTTGGTTAAAAGTGGTTTCCTTTTGTAGAAATGAGAATTTCGTTTTGGAACATCCATAAAAGGAAAGTGGGAACTTCTTTGCGGGATGGAGGTAGTATATCAGACAACACCCATCGATGGCATAAGTAAGTTTTATTCCATTCATTTTTTGATAGTTTATTCAATTCCATTCATTTAAAATAAATAAATAAAAATAGTTTAACGTGTTTATTGATTAAGTGAAATGTGTAGGGGAGATCACCAAGATAGGGGTAAGAGTGATTCTGAATTTCATAACAGAAGTAATTACTATCAAACTAAAAAAATAATACTCCGTATCATATTTATATATAGGTAGTGCAAAACCATTACAATACTTACTCTAATTTAATTTACAGAATAAAAAACATTAGTCATGTTTTCAAATTCACATTTTCCCCCTATTTAGGACAACTTTGTGCAATAATGTTACAGTGTAATTGATGTTAAAAGAAAGGAATTTTATCGGACCTGAAAGATAGATTAATTATCAATTCAGGTCCTGAAAGATAAAATGCATCGATATAGGACCCGAATGATGAAAAACTATCAATTTAGGACCTGAATGATTGAAAACTATTAATCTAGGACCTAAGTTGTCATAATTATTTTTATTAAAAAATTTTAAATATTATTTCGTTTTATTAAACCAATAAACTTTTGTGAAGAAAAGTTTATCAAAACTTAGTAATGGAATTAATAAAATAAATAAATAAATCAAAACCTATGAAACGTTAGGTCTTAAATTGATAGTTTTCCATCATTCGGGTCCTATACTGATACGTTTCACCTTTCGGGTCCTGAATTGATAATTAATCTATCTTTGGGGTCCTGAATTGATAAAGTTCCTAAAAGAAAAGAAACAATATTAACTACACAAAGGATTATCCAAAAGAAAGAAGAAGAAAATTGTTTGAAACATTTCGAAAAGTAAAAGAAACTTGAGACAATAGAGTACTATCTAGTCTAGTATCTAAAATGCATGTTCAAATTAAAATCTAAAAATTAAAGATATCCATTTTGGGCCGTTTTGTTATAAAAACACTCTAGACAATCCTTCTCTCCAATTAATTAAGGTCTCAAACACTACAAGTTTCCTGCATATTTTTTCTTTTAGTGGAATTTCATGGTGGAAAATAGTGTCTACTTTTAAACCTTTTAATGAATTTTTATGTAATTGCTTCCTAGTCATGTGATATATTCCTAGTATGAAACTATGAGCCCGTTTGGTTACACTGAAATCGGGTGAATCGGCCCATTCTGTTGAAATTTATGAAGTTCTGTCTGATGTGACTCTATTGACTGGTTCTTATAATTAATGAAACATTTTTATTTGAAATATATTTTATTAGTAAAGTAAAGAAAAAATTATATTAAAAAAAAAGAAAAAATGGTCATGTAGAATAACTTCAGCCAATGCAGTCAGCAGAGTAACACCAAACTTATTTTTTCTTATTACTCCCTCCGTCCCTATATAAAAGTATCCATTCGTTTTCCACACATTTTAAGAAAGTGGGTTTGGTTGGTATTGTTTGACACTGTTTGGACACTGTTTGGCACTGTTTGGCACTATTTTATTTGCACTGTTTTGTTTGCCAAAAAAGGAAAGAGAACTTTTATTTAGGGACGGCCCGAAAAGGAAACAGATGCTTTTATTTAGGGACGGAGGGAGTATTACACAATTCAACGCGCGAAATCAAAAGTTACGTGTTTGGTTAAAAAATTGGTTGATAAGCTGAAAAACATAGCCGCCAAACGGTCCGATCTCTGAATTTGTGTATATGATTTATGAAAGATTATGTGTACATAATGCATATATGTGAAAAGTTATTAATAAAAATATACATTTAGATTTTTCAATATTTATGGGTTTCCTTCACTTTTTAAAAAATATTAGACAAATTGTTTTGCAAAAGGCGGTTCACGAACTGTGCTTAAAGTTAATTTTTACTCGACAATAAATCGGTTATAGCAATACAAAACCGTACTGGTCCGAACCGTGGATAGGGGGCGGGCTACGGGAGAGGAAAAATGGTTACTGGTCCGGCCAGTCCAGGACCGATCCGGGCCCATTTTTTTGTCTTTGGGCTGCGACTAGGTGGGTGGTATGGGGGGGGTATGGAGAATTAATTAGAAAAGCCATTTTAAAAAAATATTGATCTGACCCGACCCGGCCCTGGTACAAACCCAGGTCAGTACGGGGCCTGCAACCTAGGACCCCAGTCTCGCCCAGTACCGTCGGGAGGCCCGACCCGGCCTGAGGTCCGGTCCACCCTTAACCATACCCCCAGTATATATCTAGAAAGAAAAACTAGATTACAACCAGGGGCGTAGCTAGGGAGGGGTCAACCCTGGCCCCCGCCCAGCCCAGCCCAAATTTTAAAAATGTCTACATTTTTAAGGTAACAAATTTTGTGTAAAATTTTTTCAAAAAATATTGTTTGTAACAGCCCAGGCCGGCCTAGTGTTCTGGCTTCGCCCCTGATTACAACATTATTGAATCGCAAAATAGAAACAAAAATAGTTACACATTGCTACTCAAATTAGAGAATAAAATGAAATGTTGTTGACTAATAAAGAAAATGTAAAATAAAAAATCATTTTATTACAAAAGAAGTATATACACTATCATTTTTGTATGATATACCCAAAATATGTTAGAACTTGAGGATAAAAATAGTAAAATATAAGGGTGTAAAATATGGCTGGACCAGATATCACTTCTAGTCACGTATAAAATACGCTTTCCTAAAAGTTTACTATCTACCCTTATCACAGTAATCGGGTTACAAGATAGAACTTTTTGGATAAAAAGAAGGTGTATGGTGTATTTTAGCTAGTGATAAAATAACACCGAACAAGTGAATTGTATATAAAGTGGTCTAAACACTCAATACTAATACTGCAGATATTAGTATTTTAGTGAGGTAAGAGAAGATCGGAAATTGATTTTTTTTTTGCTTTTGTATCCACGCAATACAAAGCGGTCGTTTATTTTATAAACAAAAGGCGACTCATTTGAAAAGGGCTGTTATCATCTCATACGAAGGTGTTCTTTCGCTGGATGACTATTAAGCCATTTATAAAATGAAACGGTACGGTTGTTCTAAACCAACACGTACATTTTATAAATTAAAGGTTTTTCTTTTAAAACAAAAGCCATTCTTTTAATCAAAGAATTTCTATTTAATATATAAAATATACATACCCGCATGCCTGGTGTTGAATGGTTGATAAAGCAATTAACAATCTTATGGTAGTTATTCTAGCTACCAGTGCATATGTATCAAAGTAATCAATACCATGTTTTTGTTTAAAGCCTTGTGCAACCAATCAAGCTTTAAACTTGTCAATGGTCCTGTCTACTTTCATTTTCTTTTTGAAAATCCATTTACAACCGATTGGTGTGCAACCGGGTGGTAAATCACTCAGAACCCAAGTATTATTGCCCATGATTGAATTCATTTCATCGTTCACGGCCTCTTTCCAGAAGGAAGCATCTTGAGATTTCATTGCCTCCTCAAAAGAGTTAGGATCCTCCTCAACACTATAACAATATAGTTTTTTTGAGTTACAAGGGTCTCTCTTGATCCTTCAACCAAATATAATTGGAAATCGAGACCAAATGACTTTTCTTTTCTAGTCCTCTTACTCCGTCTAATTTCAGGCTCATTTTCATGATCATTTTCCAGTTTCATGGAAAATTTCAGGCTCACCTTCAAACTTTTCCAATTTTGGAAAATTGGTGTTGATGATATCGCGTTGAGTAGCGGTCATATTTGTGGATTAGTAAACTTTTAGATTGTTAGAATTTGAGGATAAAAATAGTAAAATATAAGGGTGTAAAATATGGCTGGACCAGATATCACTTCTAGTCACGTATAAAATACGCTTTCCTAAAAGTTTATTATCTACCCTTATCACAGTAATTGGGTTACAAGATAGAATTTTTGGGATAAAAAGAAGGTGTATGGTGTATTTTAGCTACTGATAAAATAACACCGAACAAGTGAATTGTATATAAAGTGGTCTAAACACTCAATACTAATACTGCAGATATTAGTATTCTAGTAAGGCAAGAGAAGATCGGAAATTGTTTTTTTTATTTGCTTTTGTATCCACGCAATACAAAGCGATCCTTTATTTTATAAACAAAAGGCGACTCATTTGAAAAGGGCTGTTATCATCTCATACGAAGGTGTTCTTTCGCTGGATGACTATTAAGCCATTTATAGAATGAAACGGTACGGTTGTTCTAAACCAACACGTACATTTTATAAATTAAAGGATTTTCTTTTAAAACAAAAGCCATTCTTTTAATCAAAGAATTTCTATTTAATATATAAAATATACATACCCACATGCATAAGCATCGACAATATGATATTTGTTATTTGCAAAGATCAAATAAAGCATTTAAATAATAAAATATCATTATTATTATTATGAAACACAATCACACGTGCACATATGTGTGATGCTCATTATAATAATAATTATTTCATTTAAATATCCCTCTAACACAATTTTGTTAATACAAAATATTTATTTATAAAATATTTAAGGACCATGTAGTATAACAATTGAGCTATATTTCAATAAATCTCCAACAAAATAATATATTGTTGGAGATTTATTGAAATATAGCTCAATTGTTATACTACATGGTCCTTAAATATTTATTGAAATATAGCTCAATTGAAATAATATTATATCTACAAAATAATTGAAAATATGTACGTGCATTTCCTTAAATTGAACCTCACTGATTTTATAATATCTCAATCTATCCATTTATCTATCTGTTCATTTATTTTTTGTAAATCTATCTTTTTACTTTTGGGGGTTGAAACGGTAAATCAATCACTCTTTGGGGTTGATTTATACTAGAGATGGCAATTGTGACCGAACCGATCCGATGGATACCCGCACCGAACCGCCCCGATCAAAATGGGAAAACCGCATTGACCGACCGGGTAACGGGTATGGGGCGGGGAATGCCCGTTTTGTTTTTATGGGTAATGGGGGGTTACGGTTTTATACATGCCCGCCCCATTACCCGCCCTATACCCGCCCCGTTTATTTGTAGTTATATTATATTTTTATTGTATTTTTATCTATTATTTGTCTCACAACTATTAAAAGATGAGATTTTTTTCTTACCATTGTGTATGTATAGAAAATAGATGTACTAACTATAATGTATAAAGTTCATAATAGATTTTAATAGTCTAATTTGATTATTATCATATTTTTTTCGTGATTAATTGTTTTTTAGATTAAGTATTTTTAGGTTCAAATTAATTTAAGTCGCTTCCTTTCTCGTCTTGTAGATATATGAATCTTTAAAGTGACATCTGAAGTGTAGAGTGGTCTAGACGATGTCATTTTGCATCTTTTAAAATATTATTTTTTATATCAAAATTTAATGACTCGATTAATAAAACGGTTATGATTTGAGTAAAAATTACCCATTGGATAATGGGGCGGTTACGGGGCGGGGAAATTACCCAACGGGGCGGTTACGGTTATATATAAAACCGTGCCTGATCTGCCCCGTTGTCATCCCTAATTTATACAATGAAACATGTTAGACATGAGCTCGCCATCATAGTCGAGTTGATTTATCATTTATTAGTACGACTTGCGAAGTTGATGTTGAGATGAATCTATTTCAGGTAATCACAGTTATAATCTCACATTATAATTAATCGCATCTGTGATCTCAGATTCGCTAATCCCTTTATTATCACTCATTCACTTGTTGGGGCTAAATCATGGACGCCATAAAAAAGAGTTAAACATAGTAAATGGAGAATTTCCTAAAAAAATTGTAAAACTTCAACAGTGAAGTACTTATTTGATTATGTAATAACGTTTTTATTTGAACTGAAATTTGTTGGTCTAGTCTGAACTAGTATAGTCTGAAGTGGTCTGGTAAATGTATGGTTTCTATGTATTTTATAAATGTTCAAATCTGATAAGATCTTATATAGTCTGATCTCATCTGGTATGATTTGGGACTAAAAACAATCCAAATAAAAACATCCTAAGACAATTTGCTGTCATTATGATTTATGAAATCTGACCACTATATTTTGACGTTAAATCAATAAGCCAAATATGACAGTATTATTGCTATGATATGCGATCTTTTGATATTTTTCTAGATATAGATTAATTGCCCTTATTAAGATAAGAAAAATATAACTCAGTTATTTTAGAATTCCACTTTAGCTTTTCTCTTACTGTATCTATGGCAACTTCATTTAGTAGTACTTTAACAACTTATATTGATTCATTTTAATACCAATGATGTACTTCAAGAGACTACCTGTTTCTTTGAAAAATTAAGAGACTGTCTATTATTGCTTGTATTAAAAAAATGATTTTAAAGCAATTTTAGAGAATGTAAAGGTGAGTAATGTTTGAGAAAAAATGATTTTGAAAAACTAAAAATTGATAGTGTTTTAGTGAGAAAAATACCTTTTGTGTAATACTACGTAGGAAAAATGAAAATCAGTTTAAACTTTATAGCACTCGATCATTTGTTTCAAATCCAACTTTTAACTTCAGAATGTTTAATTTAAATAGAAGTTATCACTGAGGTTTTTTTTAGTAAAGAGCAAAGAATCCGTTTGGTAACACGTACTGGAATTGGTTAAATCGGTCAAAGATAGTGAAATTTATGAAATCTTGATTGAAACAACTGGATTGGTTGACTTTGCTAAATTGTGAAAAATTATATTGAAAATATATTTGATTAATAAAATAAAAGTATGTGTGTGTATGAAAGAAAATAGCTAAAACGAACTCTAGAGTAGCTTTAACCAAAAAAGAAACTTCAGTATTACTTATTTTGATTATTACACAATTGAACATGCAGAATCAAAAACTACGGGTATGTTTGGCACAACTAGCTGAAAAGATACTTTTGTGAGCTTTTTAATAATTGTTAGCTTTTAGTAACTGAAAAGATCTTAAAGAGAAAAGGTGGTAGCTGTTTGATAAAAAGCTGACTGTTTGATTTAGGCTATGTTTGACAGATAAAAGTCTCTACCTTCTAGCTTTTGTACTGTTCAAAAAGTCTCCAAAAGCTTCTAGTTATATGTTTGACATGACAATTTTTAAGAGGTTTTCAAAAATTAAAAGATCTTTTTTGAGATGTTACAGGGAGTAACATCTGAAAAAAGCTCCTGACTTTTAGTATTAATTAGTCCTAACAGCTTGTATACAAAACCAAACTAAATCGAACAGCCAGCTTTTTACCAAATAGCTACCACCTTTTCTCTTTAAGATCTTTTCAGTCACTAAAAGCTAACAGTTATTAAAAAGTTCACAAAAGTATCTTTTAAGCTAGTTGTGCCAAACATACCTTTAGTTCGGTTTGGTATACAAGTTGTTAGGACTAATTAATACTAAAAGTCACGGGCTTTTTTCAGATGTTACTCCATGTAGAATCTCAAAAAAAAATCTTTTAATTTTTGAAAAACTCTTAAAAATTGTCAGGTCAAACATAAAAGTAGAAGCTTTTTGAGACTTTTTGAACAATACAAAAGCTACAAGACAGAGACTTATGCGTGCCAAACATAGCCTACATGAAAAGTAAAAGGTCTATTGATAAGACAAATAAGTTGAAAATAGGACTTACTAAACAAGCTCTAATTAAGTGCCTCAACCCGCTATTCCATGTGAAATTCAAGCCAACTTTATCCGACTTACTACCATATACGAAGTATATTGATACTCATAGCACATTCCAAAAAGAACTTGTGTATCGTAATTAATTACTTCTATTTCAAAGAAACCGATCACTTATAAGATCAAATTTTTTGATTGATTCTGGTCACCAGTTATATAGTAAGTACAATCGTCGCAATTAATAAAATAAAATACACACAAGTCGCATAACTTATCAACCTAATAGACCAATTAATCATGCTTAATTTTAAGCGAATGCTTGTGAAATTCAAGATACCATCGTTTGACCAAGAACTCAAACGGTGTGATTGAATATAATGAGATACTTAGGCCTTCTTTGGTTCAAAGGAGGGGAGGGAAGGGAAGAGTCAAGGAGGGAAGGGAAGGGAAGAGGAAGGAAGGATTTTGATAAAAAATTGTGTTTGGTTGGAGGAAATAGGAGGAAAGGTTTAGTGAAAATATTTTCGCAATTTACTTTTATTTGATAGCTTACTTAAAAAAAATAGGTACATGTCTAACTATTTTGAATATTACTCCTATGGTCTGACATGACTCATAATTTAATTTTATTTGATTTTTTACCTTTTTAATTTTATATTTTTTCATTTTTCAGTTTGGAATTTTTAATTCTTTAGTTTTATTTTGAATTTTCTTTTTTATTTTAAATTTTTATAATTTTAATTTATAATTTTAAAATTTTTAAATTATTAAAATTTTTAGTTTTTAAATTTTTAAATATTTTAATCTTTAAACTTTTAATTTTTAAAAATTTTAAATTTTTCAAAACATTTTGTTTTTTACCTTTTTATATTATAACGTTTTGTTCATTCACGTATGAGATGGATAGTTTGTGGTTATCAACACGTTTCCTCCGAAATACCCCGATTTGGGAAGTTTAGAATGGGAGGAAGTGGAGGATTTTGAAAGTCTTCCACTTTCCTCTCCCTCCCCCCTATTTCCTTCAACCAAACACACACAAATCCTCCACTTTCCTCCCCTCCCCTCCAAAACCCTCCAACCAAACAGGGCCTAAGAACTTATACTTTTCTACGGAGTAGTACCGATTTCATTCTTCAATAGTTGTGCTATAAAAATTAACCGGTTGATGCATTTGTACGACGTAAGTCAGCTTTGAGTCTGCTTGGAGAAGAGTGTGGCGGGTTACGCAATGGAGATGGTGTGGCGGCGACCAACAGCAGCCATGTAGCACGGAAACTCTTGGAGAAGAGTATGTTTTCGTTTTAAAAGTTCTACATGAATTTTTTTGTAATTCTCTAAACAATTGTGTTTCTATTAAAAGATGGCATTTCTTGGTTGCGGTTTTCGCATGATTTATAAGCCAAGACGACACAATACTGTTAGAGCCCGTTTGGTGATCATGTTTTCGGTTTCTCAGCTTTATTAACCAACATTTTCACTGAAAACGTAACTTTTAATTTCGCGCGCTGAATTGTGTAATAATTGAAATAAGTAAGGTTGAAGTTACTTTTCTATCTGCATTGATTGAAGTTACCGTGGAAGATCATTTTAGCTATTTTTCGTACAATTTTTTTTTTAATAAAAAGTATGTTAGATATATTTTTCCAAAAATAAACACAATCAATCAACACAGTCAATTAACCAGAACTTCATAGATTTTAGAAAAATGAGGTGATTCAACTTTATCTCTTATTACTCCCTTACCCCCCAAACCTGAAATGAAAACTTATGGAACTATAGATGCGATAAATTTGCAGTCACAAAAAGATGGATATTTAGCATACCAATCATGGTGTTCCATGCAAGGTCTTCCCAAACAGCTGCCAAGCAATATAATGTTGCCTCCACAAACAGCAAAGGATGGCCGGCACCTGGAATAAAGGAAGCCCCTGGCCTGCTTCAAGGTTTTTGGTAATATCAAAGTGCCATGCCATTTATGGGCCGGAAAATCACGACTAAATGTGTGTGTCGACCATATATATATGAGAGAGGCGGACATTATTGAGGGGTCCGAAATTCTCAATAGCTTTTCCTCCTCAAATTATGAGCAAATTAGATAAGGACTCATTATTTAGCTTCCACCAAATGTTATGTGCGTGTGTGTTGTAAATTGTGCGGAAAGTCAAGGAATCTCACACCAAGTGTAACGTTTTGAACCGATCACTCGTCTCTAATTTTAAGAAAGAATTGTCCTAAATAGGATCAAAACATTGTCAAAATTTCTAAATAGGACATTAAGTTTATTATTCCCTAAATAGGACTTCAGATTACAATTTTGCCCTTGATGTATTAAACCCAATCGACCGACTCTTCTCCCGTTAATCTGTAATTTCTCTCCTGGCCATGGAATTGCAGCCCTTCGCCTGCGATTGAACGCAACCACGCCGCCCGCTATGAAACACAACCCTCTTATTCCCTTCTTCTTCAGCCAAGTCAGGTACGTAATCTTCTTCCCTTCTTCCTTTTCTTCTTCATCTCCTTTTTCTTTTTCTTCTTCTTCTTCTTCTTCTTCTTCTTTTTTCTTCTTCTTCTTGGATTTGAATTTTATTTATTAATTTGAAATCTTAAAAATATCAAAATTCCAAGTTTCATACTTGCAGACCTCCAATGAGAATGTCAAGAATGATAACATGATGATGGAAGTTTCGTATAAAAACAAACATTCTCAGTTATGTCGTTCTCGGATAAGCCATAAAATGTCATAACAATGACATTTTCTTATGGACATATGACATTTTCAGATTGTCATTTTGATATATATACTGCCACAAATGTGGCGGTTTTTTCAAATAACCAATAATTTTGACATTCTCAGATTATAAAAGTGCCATTTTTCAAAATAAATAAAATTCAAATCCAAAAAAATCCCAATCAATAAATAGAATTTTAAAAGGTAGTAGATGAATAGAAAAAAACAGAAAACAGAGTGCAGGAGCTGAGGGGGGAGAAGTGCACCAGGGAAAGAAGAAGAAAGAAGGAGGGTGAGGGGGAGGAGGAGGAGATTATTTGCGGTCGACGGAGGAGGTGCGTTGCAAGGCCATAGTCGGTGGCGGAGCTGCAGTTCATAGGAGAATGGTTTGTTGCGATGCAGACTGGAGTTTTAATACAGAGTATTAAGGGTAAGTTTTAATACAATTTAGTCCTAAAAACTCCAAAAACACATGATAGTCCTAGTTTTGCATTTTTCTCTTCTTTTGGTCCCATTTAGGGAATTTACTCAAATTTTAATAATCCGGCTTCTTCTTATTAATTCCTTCAAAAGATTGAACTCTCAATCCCAAAGGTCCCATGCATGCTCCCACCTTGCAAGTCATATGAGATGATGTAAATCAGGTGACTCAGTCAGGCAATGAGGACTTTATACCCGTGCGCATCGGAGATCTAGCCCAGCACGCATGAGTTGTAACCTTCACACGATCGTTGCGAGTTTCGAACATTGAACATTTCTGCATTTTTTCCACCACTCAACCAACTGAGCTACCTGTATGAGTTGACCTGTTCTTTATTTAAATACTATCAAGTGTTATAATGGGTTGTCCAAAATTCGAAAGAAAAACGCAAAAATATTGTATTGAATACATCCTATGCAAAACTAGAACGAAATTTTATTGAATTTTATTGAATACATTACGATGATTCATATATGAGATGTCAGAGGTGTATATAGTGGCCGGATACTTATGAGTAATCCTAGACGTTCAAGGCCTAGATATCGCGTTTGCTGGTCCAAATTGATGAAGCCCTTAAGCATTACATACTCCTAAGTAGGAGTAACTTGCTCCTGTAAAGTGAAAAAAAAAAAAAAAATAGATGCACTCCTATTTGTTCAACATTTCAATATTGACAGTTTTAGTCCAAGAGGCAATTTCTTAAAAGCTTGTACGGAAGCATCACTTTTATTGAAATTGAACCTTTCATATAGATGTGTGTATTAGGTTTATTCTAAAAAAATACAGTATAAAAATAATACTTATTGATAATAATATTAAAAATATAATTTGACATGCAGGAGTTATAATTTTTTTGAACAGATGTCATGGTGATTACAATATAAAATTGACATACATATTAAGATTTAAATATGTTTTTAGTCCCTGCAATTATAGCACACTTTGTTTTCGTTCCCTGTAAAATATTTTATTTGTTTTTCATCCATGAAATTTATGTTGGTTTTCTTTTTAGTCCATGACTAATGATAACAACTTCCATTTGACAACGAAACAATCCCTACTAATAGGTATGCTTTAATTTTTTGTCATGCCATTCAAAAAGTATTTAATTTCATTTTTTAAAAGGTTTAATTTTTAATACATATTTTTAAAATGTGAATAATTTGTTTTAATATTGTTTTAACTCTCTTATTAGCCTCAAAATAATTACGGAGTATGAACTAATAAATTTAAATGTTTCTAGTAGATTTAAGCAACCGAGAATAAAAAAAATATGAGTAGTGTTGTTTCGGAGTTAGAGATGGACTAAAACCAAAATAACGCATATTGGAGCGATGGAAAACAAAGAAAATATTTTGCAGGAACCTAAAACAATGTGTGTCATATTTCCAGGGACTAAAATCATATTTAAACCTACATAATAATTTTTAAAAGTTATCAATATTATCATTTTATATATTTTTTTAATTTTGTGTGTTCAGGTTGTCTGTTGGCAGACAATTATCTGACGTAATGAAATTAGATTTACACCAAATCGCTCCGTTGAATTTAGAGTCCCTTATATCTTCCTGATTAGAAATGGGTCTCTATGCTTGCTTTTCGACGAGTCATCCGAAGGATCAAAGTTATCAGACGTCTCCAGTGGAGGACCTAGGGGGGTCCTAGGGGGCAAGTGCCCCCGCTTCCGACCCCGAAGTTTAAGATTAGTACTTAAGATACAAATTGTGCCCCCGCTATCCGGTCAAAAAAACTAAAGATTTTTCAATAAATATTACCGAAGTAGAACTAATAGACATAAATATTACGTAGTACTATAGTTACTATGCATAGTCACTATAATGATAGATTCAACACAATCATAGTTACTAAAATTACCATTGTAGTTACTAAGTCTTATTGTTGTTCACTATCTTTATTTCAATCATATTGTCATTATATGAAAAAACTCCATGCTATATAGTACTCCACCGAAGACATAACAATTGTAGTAAGAAATAGTATAAATTATAAACAACCACGAAGTTGTGATGGAGCAAATTCTTATACTTAGACATGTTGATATGGTTACTACACTTTCTTTGGAAAGTGGCATTGATGATTTTCTTACTTAGTGTAAATAATGTTTGCCCAAAGTTAAAGGTCAACGATATGACAAGGGCTTCTAATATTTAGGATGAACTTAATAGATTCAAGACTTTTATCTTGAATAAAAGTCCATACATGAAAAAATGTGTCAATTCGTGATAAATTAGTTTCAAACCAACATACTTTTTGAATTTTTTGTCTATAATATGATAAATGTTAGATGTATAGAATTATATTATTAGGTAAAGTTGTATTAAAGAATGAAATCATAAACATGATTTATACTTCATTTTTAACACGATAGTATTATATTCCAGATGAAGTACCAACAAATTTTATGGCATTATGTGTAACATTCGACATGATTCTAGTTGAGATATGAAATCTTGATCATTTTATAGTATGAAAAATAATGAGAATTCTATTGTAAATTCAGAAATGACGCAAAGATGACTTTTTTATCCAAATTATATCTTTCTTTCAAAAAGCCATATATATATAATATAGAATTGTCTTAATAAGCTCAAAATTTGACTTGTAATCCATATGTGTTCATTGCTTGAAGCCGGCATTGAATAATCTATTTCCAATTAAAAATAATAATTTGAACGCACTTGAAAAAAGATTAGTGATACACCCGATTCGATCCGACCTGACCCATTTTCATCTATGGAGGAGTGCCCCCGCTTCAGAAATGTTCTGGGTCCGCCATTGGACGTCTCTGAATCAAGGGCAGTTGGGTTGTTTCTCTGGAAAGTGAAGATGTTGTTTATCGACGCATGTTGCCTCAATTTCTAAATTAAAAGTATGTTTAGAAATAGAAATAAGTTCCTCAGTTTCTGCAATGCTCCCATTCTGTGTAGAGATTGGATCGTCTTGCTCTAATAGATAGCCGCACGAAATTAGAGATTTTTTTTAGAAATTGAACTAGGTTGGATTTGTGTGGATACTATACATTGGAGAATAGGGAAATTACCCAAAATACGATTAAATGAGGTTTGGAATTCCAAAATAGGATTACTATGTTTTTCTTCTCGAAATAGGAGTTGTTACTGCTTTGTATGAAAAATAATGTCATGATTGAAAAATACAGTCATTAATTATAATTAATATTATCACGTTAAATGCACAGTACTCCAACTATTTGGCAGTCACGCCTACAAGATGACAGTAAATACTGCCATGTTAGTCCTATTTCGAGAATAAAAAACATAGTAGTATTATTTTGGGATTCCAAACTTTATTTACTACTATTTTGGAAAATCTCTCAGGGAAATATGCATGGATGGAACTCGCCTTGTTTTTAGCAATTTTCACGAAGTTGCCTGTTGGGTTCATTTTCGAGAAAATATATTAACATCAAATCTCGTTTTCTGCTTAATAGTAGATGAACCGGATGATTTGTTCGATCTCATACATGGTCTTTGTTTTAGTTATGTTACTTATGTACGTACATGCATGTCACGCACTATACATTCTATATACTAAGTCCCTCTACATCCGTTTTCTTTTAATTGCAACATTAGAATTTTTGCACTATTCACATATTTTACTTTGATTATATTTTATTTATTGATGTATTATGAAATAATTTTTTCAAAAAATATTTTTAAAAACCTCTCATTTTAAATTTTTAGGATCTGAATTTTTTAATTTTTTTTACTAATAAGAAATGAAAG